AGTCGCAGAGACTCCTGGAGGACGCAGTGGCCGGAGCGATGGTGGCACCGCTGCTGGAAATGGAATAGAAAATGGGCAGGAAAGTGACAATAGACATTCTGGAGAGGAAAGTCCCAGAGACGCGGGGACGTGAGACAGTGCTCCGCCCAGAGGAGGGCGCTGGGGAGCTAGTGAGGCCGGAAGAATCCCTGTGCACGGAACTGTTTTCAAAATCCCAGGAAAACTAATGTCCACTCAGGACAACCAACCAGCAGCATAAGGTCAAATTCCGTTTACTAGTTTCCACGATATGGTAGCACAAACTCGGTGACTGAACAGAAACTTACCGCCTCACCATCTGCAGGCCTACAGTTCAGACTCCCGCAGAGGATCTGAAACCTGGAGGCGACCTCCTGTCCCGGAGGCCAGGACTCCTTTCTAGCCTGTGGCTCAGCAGCAACCTTTGGTTTTCCTGGGCTTGGAGTCGCACCGCCCCCAGTGCCTGCCATGGCGGTGGCATGGTGTGCTCCTGTGTGCCTTTGATCTCACGTGGTCCCCTTCTCATAAGGACGTCAGCCACACTGGATTCCAGTATGACTTCATCTTAACTGGTCAAATGTGCAACGACTGTACCTCCAAATAAGGTCACATCTGGGGCATGAAGGGCTAGAACTTTGGTGTTTCTTCTTTGGAGGATCACGGTTCAGCCGTGGGTTCCTTCCTGCGAGTGTATGGGTTGAACTGTGTCCCCCTCAAAATCCACACACGGAAGTCCTGGCCTCCAGCATGTCTTAATGTGACTTCACTTAGAGACGGGGTCTTCAGAAGTAACCAGGGTGGAAACAGGGTCATCTGAGAGGGTCCTTACGTGGGGAGGACTCCAGGAAAACATGCAAGGACACAGCAAGAAGGCAGAGTGCTACAAGCCGGGAAAGGGGCCTGGGGAAACCCACCTGCCAACCCCAGGGCCTGGAACTGTCCGTCTCCAGGACGGCGAGACAATGAGTGTCTGCTGTTACACCCACTCTGCGATACTCTCTTACAACAACTCCAGCAAACTATACGTGCAGTTATTATAAGGAAAAAATTAAGCAGGACCAGAATGATATCCCTCTGGATAACGGAAAGCACATTAAAAAAAAAACATGCAGAGAATTTAAAAAGACTAATATTCCATCTCTGAAACAAACTAGAAGTGCTAAAGTGATCAAGGTACGGAAGAAGCAGTGCATTAGAATTAGGATAAACTGAGAAATGCATTCATAGACTGAGGACCTAATTTTAAATATTTTTAAAATAATTTCAGAAAGAATAACCTAGGAGAAATACAAAAGTTAATAAACACTTAAGAAAAACAAGTTGAAATGAACAAAAAATTTTAAAAATCAAAGGAAAAATAACAAAAGATGTTATTTCAAGAAGGCTTAGAGAAGAAAGTGACGATTCAAGATGTGCAAAGCAGATCAATCATACAGATGACAGGAATCTCTGAGGAGGAACCCCAAAACAGGAGAGGAGACACTATCAATGATAAATCAAGAAAACTTTCCATAAAGTAAAAAAATAGATTTGAAATTCTATATTGAAAGAATGCACCACATACCTGAGAATATCTGTCAACCCAGAGCAACCAACACCTATTCTAGTAAAATTTTTGGACTTTAAATAAAAGGGAAGAAAAACGTGAACATCTGGACAAAGACAGAAAGTGATTTCTTCATTTCATCAGATGAAGAAAATTAAATAGCATACTTAGGGCACTCAAGAACGTGTAGACCAAGGATTTTATACCTAGCAAAACTGACTTTGTAAACGAAGACCACAGGCTATTATGAACATGCCAGCACTGCACAAGTGATTATTTGTAAAATCATAACTAAATGACCGTTATAACAGAAAGAGTTTGTATGAATTGTTGTRTAGCTCAGACAACGGAGAAGTAGCACTTTAAAACCCAAGTAGAAGAGAGAGGACATATCAAAGAAATTGTTTTCAGTAATTATGTTAGTGATGATAATTTGAGTATCTCCTGTGTGAAATGTGGGGTAAATGAAATGAGTAATTACGGGATATTCTGTCATTCCCTGTGTCCTTGAAAATTGGGATCCTGTTGTGGAACAAAGAAGATTCTTCGGTCATGTGGAAAAGCTTAAGCTAAAAACCATGTGATCCTTACTTCAAATTGGAAATATCAGCGTGAACTCATGTTGTGTTTTATGTATGAAAATGTCCACTAACGAGGCCTAGGACAATGACCAACCCAGGGCCACTGGGCATCACCAATATCCTGGCTGTGGTCTTGAAACACAGTTTTCTGAAAAAAAAAATGCAGAATTTCTTGGAGCGATGACTGAGTCCAGGTCTTGGCAGTAAAAGGTCAAGATGAGGCTGGACGCCTTGTCCTCTCAGATAGCCAGAAGCCTTCAGGAAGCACCAGAATCCGGCCCAAAGGACCCAGGCACATTTCCCGACTGGACAAGGATGGAACATTTTGCATTTTAACAAAAGGATGATAGTGACAATGGATCCAGTCTCACCAAATTGGTTCCAATCACGAGTTTACACTGGTGTGTGTGTGTGTGTGTGTGTGTGTGTGTGTGTTTTCTTTGGAGAATGATAAGAGTTAGATCATGATCCTGAAAACTGGAAAATACAAGGAAAGAACCAGTATGGGTCTTGCTTTTCCTCTGTGAACTGTTCCCCCTGGTGACCACACAGCAGTAGCAGGTGAGGGAAGGCATCTCAGGAAGTAAGCCAGCCAGTAAACAAGAAGGAGTGACCACCAACATGAGCCACCACTCAACATGAGCCACCACCCAACATGAACCACCATCCAACATGAGCACCATCCAACATGAGCCACCACCCAACATGAGCCACCACCCAACATGAACTACCATCCAACATGAGCCACCACCCAACATGAGCACCATCCAACATGAGCCACCACCCAACATGAGCCACGATCCACCATGAACCACCATCCAACATGAGCACCATCCAACATGAGCCACCACCCAACATGAGCCACCACCCAACATGAACCACCATCCAACATGAGCACCATCCAACATGAGCCACCACCCAACATGAGCCACCACCCAACATGA